ACTACTACTACTACGACTACCACTACGACTACGACGACTACGACTACGACTAGTACTACTACTACTACTACTACTACTACTACTACTACTACTACTACTACTACTACTACTACTAGTACGACTACTACGACGACTACTACTACTACTACTACTACTACTACTACTACTACTACTGCTACCCTTCCCACCTCCTCCATGATCCTCAGAATCGCCTCATCCTCAACCTCCTCATAGGGTCGATGTATGCGTGGTTGGCGGCATCAGGGTACACGCAAAATCGCGTTCGGGCCCACTAGATCCCCTGGAGCTCACGCAAAAGCCAACAGTTGGCCTCCCTCTCACTCGTCTGGTGCCGACGCGCCGTCTATTTGGCGCGAAGGAGATTATCTGTGCGGGCGGGTGATGACGCGACCATTAGCCAAGCCGTCTGCAGTTGCGAGCGCCCTGGCGACCGTCGTGCGCCAGTGCCTGTGGAGAAGGGCGCGCCAAGACCAGGCCAGGGCCAAGGCCAGGGAGAAAAAACAGCATGGAAATAAACTGTCAGAGAATAAACAGCGTGGAAATAAACTGGAGATCGGCGCTGGACCCCCCACCCCTTGCGCGCGGAGAGCGCAAAGGAAGCGCCGGAGGCGCCGCCAGGGGGTCCAGCGCCGATCCGAGAAACCCGCGCGGAGCTTCGAAGACTTGCAGTCATCGTGCTACCGAAAGGAACGCTCAATCAGGAACGAAGTGGCTCGTGTGGCCACGGCGACCCTCGGCCACGAACAGGTGCCTCGACCCAACTTGACGGAACGGCTCGAAAAAACCAGAGCCCCTCACGAGCCAAAAACTGTCCTTAACTTCAGCGTCTCGGCTGCACGCTCGTGCTGCTAGTCCTTCTTCGAAGGGTGGCGGACCCTCTGCCACAGGCCCACGCTGGGGCGTGGAAGGATACCAACGGCTGTCGCGCAGGCGCACTGTATTCTCTCAAGGGACACACACTTTTTGGGCGCCGCGGCCCCCCGCGCAGCAACAGGGCGTAGTAAGGTCCGCGAGGCGGGCGCGCATGTGCGCCTAAGGCAACACACAGACACATGCACACACACACACACACACATGCACACACACACACACACACTCTGATTACCAGCACGATCTGCATGCATCGCCGCCCCTCCCGAGGCCACGGCCCCACAAAAGAGCAACATGGACACGCACTCCCGAGGCCACGATGCTGGCACGGTGGCGTGTCTTGCCGCAGGCAGCTGGCTATGTTCGACGGCCACAACCGGCGGCCCTCGACGGGCGCCGCCGGCCCGCGCCGCCGCAGCCCAGGCCAGCGCGACGGCGCCGGCGCGGCCGAGGCGAAGGGGACGGGCTGCAGCCGCCGGTGGCGGGGCTCCAGGCCCATGCGCACCTGCAGGCTGTCACTCCCCCCCCTCCCCAAAGGAGAGGGGGGGGGTCTTCTCGTGGGCCGCCGAGGGCCGCTGAGGGCCGCAGAGGGCCGCAAAGGGCCGCAGAGGGCCGCCGAGGCCGCCGCGGGCTCCCGAGGACCGCGGGGGGCCACAGAGGGCCGCCGAGGGCCGCAGAGACCGCCCAGGGCCGCCGAGGGCCGCCGAGGGCCGCCGAGGGCCGCCGAGAGTAGCAGAGGGCCGCCGAGGGCCGCCGAGGGCCGCCAGGGTCCGCCGCCGAGGGCCGCAGGAGGCCTGCCGCGGCGGTCCGCGGGGGATCCAGGGCGGAGTGCTGGGCGGCCCTCGGAGCAGTGAGGCCAGCTCACGGGGCTGCTGGGCCAGGCTGCGCAGGCCGTCTGGCTCGTTCTGGAACACCCGCAGCCCGGAAAGGTTTGGATCCAAAAGATGCCAAGGAAGAGAAGTCAGCCCCTCGACCCTTCGAAGACACCGCCCGTTCTGGAACCCTCTGCACGAAGCCTGGATACAGCCAGGTCAGGTAGGGCTGAGGCGGATGAGCACCCAGGACGAACCAGGGCCGATGACTCACTCAACCTCCCTGGAGTTGCAACCTAACCTAGGCCACCTAACTTCCCGCATCGCGCCCAGCAATGCGCAACGCGCGATTGTCTTCGCGCCCTGGTCCGCCCCCCCGAGGAGGCCAGCTCAGCGGCCCCAGCTGCGACGCGTGAAACTCGATAATGATCGCGCCCCTTGAGGGGCCCTGGCTGACGCACCTGGTACTCGGGGATGGTCATGTCCTGCACCCAGCGCACGAAACCAGGGTGCTGTGCGTCCAGGGCGGTCACGCACTGCTTCGCGGTGTCGTCCAGCACTACGGCGTCCACGCCCCCGAGCGGCATCGACGCGGTGCTGTTGACGTACCACCGCAGCCAGCTGGGAAACTCGCTGCAGCCTTTCTCCCCCTGGACCAGCACGACTGCGACGGTCCTGGCTGCATCCTAGGAGGGCGTCAACTATACACCTACACCGATCCTGGCCAGGCCGACCCTGACCCAGGATCGGTGCATGCGCCCCCCTGGCCTGGCGAGGAACGCATTCTACACCGATCC